AACCCATCCTTCTGCTGCATACAAGAAACACACCTCAGCCTCAAAGACAGACATTACCTTGGAGTTAAAGGTTGGGAAAAGATTTTCCAATCAAATGGACCCAAGAAACAAGTGGGGGTAGCAATCCTAATATCTAACAGATTAGACTTTAAAATAAAATCAATCAAAAGAGATGAAGGAGGTTATTACATACTTATCACAGGAGAAATCCACCAAGATGAAGTTTTAATTCTGAACATCTATGCCCCAAATACAAAGCCATCCACATTAATAAAAGAAACATTACTAAAATTCAAATCACATATAAAGCCACACACACTTATAGTGGGAGACTTCAATACCCAATTCTCACCACTAGACAGGAATACCAGACAGAAATTCAACAAAGAAGCAAAGGGTCTAATAGAAATTATGACCCAATTGGGATTAACAGACATCTATAGAACATTCCATCCACATAAAAAAGAATATACCTTCTTCTCACCACCACATGGAACCTTCTCAAAAATCAACCACATACTTGGTAACATATCAAACCTCAGCAGGTACAAAAAAATTGGAATAACTCCATGCATCTTATCAGACCATCATGCGTTAAAATTAGAATTCAACAACAACACATATTGCAGAAATCCTACAAACTCGTGGAAATTGAATAATGCACAATTGCACCATTCCTGGGTCAAAGAAGAAATAAAAAAAGAAATTAAAGACTTCCTAGAATTCAATGAGAATGAAGACACAACATAACCAAACCTATGGGATACTTTGAAAGCAGTGCTACGAGCAAAGTTCATAGCACTAAGTGCCCACATGAAGAAACTGGAGAATAGTTACATGAGAGAATTAACAGCACAGCTGAAAGCTCTGGAACACAAAGAATCAAACTCCCCAGGAGGAGTAAACATCAGGAAATAATCAAATTAAGGGCTGAAATCAATACAAAGAATCAATGCAACGAAGAGTTGGTTCTTTGAGAAAATCAACAAGATAGACAAATCTTTGTCCAAACTTACCAAACAGCAGAGTGTGAACATGCAAATTAACAAAATCAGAAATGAAAAGGGGGACATAACAACGGACTCTGGGGAAATTCAGAGAATCATCAGGTCATACTTTGAAAACCTGTACTCCACAAAATTTGAAAATTTAAAGGAAATGGACGACTTCCTAGATAGCTATCACTTGCCAAAATTAAATCAAGAACAGATAATCAATTTAAATAGACCTATAACTCCTATGGAAATAGAAGCAGTCATCAAAAGTCTCCCAACCAAAAAAAGCCCAGGTCCAGATGGCCTCAGTGGAGAATTCTACCAGACATTCAAAGAGCAGCTTATACCAATTCTTCTCAAAGTATTCCATGCAATAGAAGCAGGAGGGTCTTTGCCAAACTCTTTCTACCAGGCCTCAATAACCTTGATCCCCAAGCCACACAAAGACACAACTAAGAAAGAGAACTTCAGACCAATATCCTTCATAAACATTGATGTAAAAATAAGCAATAAAAATACTGGCAAATCGGATCCAAGAACACATTAAAACAATCATTCACCACGACCAAGTAGGTTTCATCCCAGGGATGCAGGGATGGTTCAACATACAAAAATCCATCAATGTAATCCACCATATAGACAAGCTGAAAAACAAAATCACATGATCATCTCACTAGATGCTGAAAAGCCTTTGACAAAATCCAACACCCCTTCATGATAAAGATCTTGGAGAGATATGGGATATGGGATAACAGGAACATACCTAAACATAATAAAACTAACAGCCAGCATCAAACTAAATGGGCAGAAATTCAACGCGATTCCACTAAAATCAGGAACAAGACAAGGCTGTCCACTCTCTCAATACCTTTTCAATATTGTACTTGAAGTCCTAGCTAGAGCCATACGACAACAAAAGGGGGATACAAATTGGAAAGGAAGAGGTCAAACTTTCACTGTTTGCAGATGATATAATAGTTTACATAAATGACCCAAAGAATTCTTCCAGGGAATTATTACAGCTGATTAACACCTTTACCAAAGTGGCAGGCTACAAGATCAACTCAAGAAAATCTATATGCAGATCATAAAAGGACTGAGAAAGAAATCAGAGAAACATCACCCTTTACAATTGCCACAAAAACATAAAATATCTTGGGGTAATGCTAACCAAACAAGTGAAGGACCTGTATCGCAAGAACTTTGAGTATTTAAAGAAAGAAATTAAAGAAGCCCTCAGGAAATAGAAAGATCTCCCATGCTCTTGGATAGGTAGGATCAATGTAGTAAAAATGGCAATCCTGCCAAAAGCAATCTACAGACTCAATGCAATCCCCATTAAAATCCCAGCACAATTCTTCACAGACCTTGAAAGAACAATAATCAGTTTTGTATGGAAAAACAAAAGACCCAGGATAGGCAAAACAACCTTACTCAACAATGCAACATCTGGAAGCATCACCATCCCTGACCTCAAGCTCTACTGTAGAGCTGTAATCCTGAAAACAGTTTGGTATTGGCACAAAAATAGACAGGTAGACCAATGGAATTGAATTGAACACCCCGATATTAACCCATACACGTATGAACATCTGATCTTTGACAAAGAAGCTAAAAATATACAATGGAAAAAAGAAAGCATCTTTAACAATTGGTGCTGGCATGACTGGATGCTGGCATGTAGAAGAATGTTTATAGATCTATGTCTATCACCATGTACAAAACTTAAGTCCAAATGGATCAAAGACCTCAACATTAATCCAGCCACACTGAACCTCTTAGAAGAGAAAGTGAGTGGTACCCTTGAACGAATTGGTACAGGAGACAGCTTCCTGAACGTAACACCAGTAGCACAGACAGTGAGATCAACAATTAATAAATGGGACCTTCTGAAACTGTGAAGCTTCTGTAAGGCAAAGGACACAGTCAGCAAGACAAAAAGGCAGCCCACAGAATGGAAAAAAATATTCAGTAACCCCATATCTGACAGAGGGTTGATCTCCAAAATTTACAAAGAACTCAAGAAGCAAGTCTCCAAAACACCAAAGGATCCAATTAAAAAGTGGGCTACAGAACTAAATAGAGAATTTTCAATACAGGAGTCTAAAATGGCTGAGAGGCACTTGAGAAAGTGCTCAACATCCTTAGCCATCTGGGAAATGCAAATCAAAACAACTCTGAGATACCATCTCACTCCTGCCAGAATGGCTGAAATCAACACTAACAATTTATGCTGGAGAGGATGTGGTGAAAGGGGAACACTCCTCCATTGCTGGTGCGAGTGCAAACTCATACAGACACTTTGGAAATCAGTATGGAGATTCCTCAGAAAAATGAGAATAAACCTACCACAAGACCCAACAACTCCACTCTTAGGCATATATCCAAAAGATGCCCATTCATACAACAAGGATGTCTGTTCCACTATGTTCATAGCAGCATTATTTGTAATAGCCAGAACTTGGAAGCAACCTAGATGCCCCTCAACCGAAGAGTGAATAGAGAAAATGTGGTACATTTACACAATGGAGTACTATTCAGCAGAAAAAAACCAATGGAATCCTGAGATTTGCAGGCAAATGGATGACACTAGAAGAAACCATCCTGAGTGAGGTAACCCAGTCACAAAAAGAGAAACATGGCATGTACTCTCTCATATATGGATATTAGACATACATCTGGGGAGTGCCAGCCTACAATCCCATGGCCAGAGAGTCTTGGAAACAGAACCTTCATTCAATGGCTAATGGAAGAAGAGGCAGACGCCCACGGCTAAGCACTGAGCTGAACTCAAGAAAGCCAGTAACAGAGAGGGAGGACTGATGACCAAAGGGATTAACTGGGCTGGTTTAACCCCCAGAAACAGCTGACCTGACAAGGGTTAACTCTTGAATCCCAGGCTGATGCCTGGGAATCCAGCATGGGACTGATCAAGACCCCCTGAATGGGGGTGTCAGTGAGGAGGCCTAGGTAATTTATTGAGCCTTGGGCAGTAGATCAGTATTTATCCCGGGTATACAAATGGACTTTGGACTCCCATCCAACAATGTGAGATGCACTCTCACCCTGAACTCTTGGGGGGAGGGTCTGAGCCCTGCCCTGGATGAAATGACAGACTATGGACACCCCCAAGAAGGGCCTCACCCTCCCTGGGGAAATGAGGGGATATTGGGGGGTTAGGGGGAGGGCACGGGAGGAGGGGAGTGAGAGGGAGAAGGAACTGGAACTGACTTGTGAAGCAAACTTGTTTCTAATCTAAATTTAAATTTAAAAATAAATAAAAAAGGAAAGGTGAGCAGAGACATCTAGTTGGCATATGGTAGGGAACTGGGATGATGTGGGATACATTCTTAAAAAACAACTTATAATGAAAAATTATTTGTCGTGTGACTGGGGAGCTGGTTCGTTGTTCTCTAGATGGCTCCCTGTTGTCTATGGGCGCTGGTATCTTTGGGTGTTCCTTGAGAAAATGAGGGTAATTGTTGTCTTGGTTGGTGTATTCTGTGAGGCTGGGTCAACTCATCCCTCCCCATTCCTCTCATTCTTTCCTGTCTCTGTCCCTGAATCATCTCTCCACTCCCCTTCCCATTCTGTCTGACTCTAGCTCCTATGTATCTCAGGATGACTTTTTCTTCATGTTTTTTTTTCTTTTTTGAGAAAATGTTTCTGTAATAGCCCTGCCTGTCTGGTACTCACTTTTTAGACCAGGCTTGCCTTAAACTCAAGAGATCTGCCTGCCTATGCCTCTTCCTCTCTTTACCAGAGTTATGGGAGGAAATGCATGGCTGGGCTCAAATCCCATTTCCCTAATGAAATGTCTTTCCCATTAAACCTCAACTTACAGGGGTAAAGGGAATGATGTCCTCTGAGGATCTAGTTATCTTTGGTAGACAGAAAATACAATCACCAAAGCCCAGTTCTTTCCATCTTTATTAGAGGCCACAGTGTATGGTGAACACAACAAGGCAGGCAGGGATAGTGTAGGCAGTAAGTGAGGTGACAAGTCTAACAGTGAATGCCTTTGTTCTCCTTGTTGTATGGAGACTTGGAGAAGCAGATGGCGGCCTGTTGGTCACAGCTGCAGATGAAGGCCTCACAGGCATTGTTTTTATCTGCAGAGAAACAAGAAAGGAAGTTGAGTAGAGCCCATCACCTTACTCTATATAATTTATAACCAAAAGACACTGGTCGCCCTCCCAACGGTGCAGACTGATGGTTGAGAAACAGACCACACAAAGGGTCATTGGGTTGCCCAAATCGCTGGAACACACTTATAATACAAAATTCATTGTTGTGGAGCAGGTTAGATGGCAAGGTTGGTGAAGTGTTTTCCACCCAAGTATGAGGCCCTGTGCTAGGATGCACAGAGCCTGTGTAAAGAGAAAAGTGTGGTTTGGGCATCTGCAACTCTTTTGAGAAGTGGGAAGAACAGATCCCTGCAACTTGTTGATCAGTCAAATTAGCTAAAGGTAAGTGTCCTGTTTAGTGAGAGACCCAGCCTCTAAAGACATGGTAGAGAGTGAAAGACAGAGAATTCCAACTCATTCCTAAACATAAAAATAAATGAGCATGAGTTTTTTATTCTAAAACCAGGAAAACTACAAATATCAATTACCACTTCTAAAATCATATGCTTTAACACAATTCTCCTGCCTCCACTTCCCCAGTGCTGGGATTGAGGTGTGCACCACCATACTCAATGTATGGGTTCTGGAGGTAGAATTCGGGGCTCTGTGCACACTACGCAAGCCTTCTAGAACTGAGCTACTTTCTCAGTCCACTGAATCCTCACCTGTAAAATGAGAATGATAAATATTACCCTGCATAGGTGTTTGGTTCAGTGTTTTGCTTTATTCCAATTGTGCAGCTTGCAACCATTTAGTAAATATGAAATCAGATAACACAGCAGCTACTTGGTGAGACTTTGGTCAGATAAGATGGCCCAGGTAATAAAGGCACATGCTGCCAAGTATGAACCCTAATTTAATCCCCAGGACTCACATGGTTGAAGAAGAGAACAGACTCCTGCACACTGTCCTCAGGCATCCACACCTGTGCTGTGGCACAGGCATCCCTCCCCAGAAATACATAAAATCTCTAGATGTTTTTTTAAAAAGCAGCCTTGGAATGATGTAGATCTGTGTTCTAGTACCAAATGCCATCACTTCCAAGCTGGGTGACCTTGAGCAAGTGGGCCAGCCTTGTTCATCTTCCTCGTCAGTGAGCTCATCTATATTTTAGTGTCTACCTGATAATGTGGGTGTGATGTCAAACAAGATCGGGGAAATGGCCACTAAATGGTGACCCTTGTTAATTCCCTGCCCCTTCCAGGTCCAAGCAGAATCCAGAGTCCCCAAAGGGTAACCCTACCACTGCAGATGACCTCATTCCCGGAGCAGGAGTATGAGTAGGAGGTGGTGTAGGGGTTGTCTAGGAATCTGCAGCTTTCCAGATCCTGGGCCTGACCATAGCAGTTGTCGTGCATCTGGCAGCACCTGGAGAGAGGAAGGAACAGATGAGGGAGGAGCATGGACACACACGAGGTCAGTTCTCACTTGCACTCCTTCTCAAACATGTGAGGATGACTTAACAATAATGTTCCAGAAGTAATCATCCCCAGGCTCGAGAATATTAGATTTGTATTAAGCTTATGTTTATTGAAATCATCTTCTGTAGAGTGTGGTCGGCGCTGGCCTTTAATCCCAGGACTTGGGAAGCAGAGGAAGATGCATCTCTGAGTTTGAGACCAGCCAAAGATACAGAAGTGAGACTCTGCCTCAAAAAAAGTGATTTTTAACAAAACTGCAGGATCAGTGAAATTATGTATTCAGAAGTTGTGATGACTTTTCAAAGCCAAGTGTGACACTTTGATTGTGGCTGTGATGGCTGACTGTGCCCAAGTCTGGCAACTGAGGACAGCATTGTCCACTATTTACATATCACACATTCTGCCTTCCAGGACCACTAGATACAGAGTCCTCTTGCACAGATTTTTTACATGACAAGAGGGGGAAAATGCATGCTGGGTGTGGTGGTGCAGACTTTTAATTCCAGCACTCAGGAGGCAGAGGCTGGAAGATCTCTGAGTTCAAGGCCAGCATGGTCTCCAGAGACAGATTCAGGAAACCTAGGCTACACAGAAATCCCCTGGCTGGAAACAAGCAAATAAAAATGAATAACTAATAAATGAGCAAACATATGATGTTTGGGGAACACGCATGTCTCCTGATCTTGCTTTATGACATGTTGTCTTTGTGCTCAGTCCCCACCCCACACAGACTCTGCAGTCTCCCAGGAGATGGATCACTCACCCGTCTAACTCATCCACTGGAGTGTTTGAGCCTCCAAAGCCACAGAAGCAGCCATAGTCGTTGTAATCCATCAAGGGATGACTCCCAGGGATGGTGCACTGGATCATATTACAGAACTGCAACAGAGCCCGACGCCTGATCTGTGTGCAAGAATGCACACTCCACACTCCAGCAGTCCCACTTGGCTTCACCAGGGGTCTGATGCCTGCCTGCTGGCTTCCTCCTTGACTCCTACCAGCTGCTGCATCTGGAGAACAGTGAATAGATTTTGTGTGAGGAGGTCAGAGAAGTTGCTTTTCTCCCTCTACAGTGTAGGTCTTGAAGACCAAGCTCAAGTCACCAAGCCTGAGCAGGTTGGTGTCCACATATTAGAGACAGAGAGTTGCCCTGTAACCCAGGCTAGCTTCAGAGTCTGTAGCAAACTTCTGGCCTCAGCTTCCTGAGCAATAGGATTATAAATGAACACCATGGTAGCGATCCTGGCCACCTCTCTGAAATTAAGTTCTATAGACATTGTCTTTTACCTTGCTTGCCTCCTCATTCCTCACTGTCAGGACAGACAGCTGCCACACTGTGAGCTGCCCTGTGGTCCCTGTGTTGAGGAGGGGCACCCTCCAGTCAGCAACCAATGTATACTGACCTCTTAGTTCAATTACCCAACAATCCAACCATCTCTTGAGTGAGAAAGCTGCCCCACCCCTACTCAAGCCTAGGTGAAACCCGAGCCTTAGTCATCAGTGGGATTCATCACAGATCTAGCTGGGACCTTGAGCCAAAGAAGCAGCCAACACAGGCTTATTGTTTTACACTGGAGAATTAGAAGGAATCTGTTGTATGACCACACAAGGCTCATGTACAAGGCTAATGGTCAGATCATCATGTGTAACATCTGTATTTGACATAATAGACTCATCATCAGCTGAGGAATAGGTAAATAAGCCAGGATTCAGTTTGCCGGGGGATACTTGGTTACCATTAAAATGAAGGAGAAGCCAGGTACAGTGAATCACACACTGGTTAATCCCAGCTATCTGGAGACAAAGGCAGATGGACATCTGAATTCCAAGCCAGCATGATCTATGCAGTGAGTTCCAGGACACCCATGGCTACACAGAGAAACCCTGTCTTGTAAATTGGAAAAAGAAAAACGGAATTGCACATACAAGCCAGGCATGTATGTAATCCTCACACTTGGGATATTGAGGCAAGCCTGAGCTATAATGCTGACTTGAAGGCATCCTCAGCTGCATTATAAGATCACATCAACAACAAGAACAACAAAGGTGGTGGTGGTGATGATGATGATGATGATGATACCTAGAGAGATAGCTCAGCAGTTGGGACCACTTGTGAAGCTTGTGTAGAACCCAGGCTGGGTTCCAGCATCCACATGGCTGCTCACAGTTCTGGAAGATCAGACCCCTCTTCTGTCCTCTGTAGGCACTGCTCACACACAGTGCGTAGACACACATGGAGCCAAAACACTCATACACATAAAATGAAAGTGGGTATTTTCAAAAGGATAAGAAAAATCTAATTGTCAGGGCAGCTTGTGATCAGAGAAATGGGTACAATATGTCAGAGGCAGAGGGGCTTTCTTTGCTTGGGTAGATTATGTAGTCGACTTTTCTAAATGCTCATCTGAGGTCAGACCTAGAGGCTAAAGATGCCAGCTGTTGTGCACATGGGGGTGAGCATGGAACCCCAACCCAGAGGCTATTAGACCCCAATGGGATCGCAAACCAGAATTTCAGGCGTCACCAGCAAGGATCTTTGCATTGATGACAAGGGGGATGATGGGGCACTCAGAGGGGACAAGGGTCCTACCTGTGAGCAGAGTGACCAGCAGAAGGAGTTTCATATTGAGTGAGGGGAGGACTCGAGTGGCTGCTGTCTTTATAGTCCTGTAGCTGTTCTGACAGTGTCCAGTCAGTGCACAGTCCTGCTGGCAGAGTGACTGTAGATGCTGGCAGAGCCTGAATCAATGCTGTCACAGAGACAAAGAGAATGGGCTATCTCGACATCCCACAGCAGCTCAAATGAAGAGACTGACAAAGTGCCAAGTCCCTCCCCTATGGAGGCTTTGAGGTCATAGAAGATATAGACATTGCTGCTGGTGTTGGGTCTGATGGATGCTGACAGTGATGTGTGGTCCCAGGCAAGAGTAGCTGGCCCCAACAAACCTCCATGTTAACTCTATAAACTAAGCACTAAGTCTGTTCCAAGACCTGACACAGGCTTTCAGGTAGATCCAGTCACAAATTCGATCTTTAATGGATTAATTAACGTGTGTGTGAGAGAGAGACAGAGACAAAGAGAGAAAGCAAGACTGAGATAGAGTTTTGTGTGCACATTGGAGGACAGATGACAACTCTGTGGAGCACCTTCTCTCCTTCGACCTTTAAATGGGTTCCAGGAATTGAACTTGGGTCTATATAACTGACTTCACGTGAAATTTTTCTTTTTAAGAAAAAAGACAGCAAATGCCCAACAGTGTACCCACAGACCAACGTAATGCAGGCAATCTTTCAGCTGAGGTTCTATCTCCCCAGTGTGTGAAGCTGACCATCAACCACTACAGGGGCTGGAGAGATGACTCAGCACTTAAGAGCACTTTCTGCTCTTTCTGAGGACTGGAGTTTACTTCTCAGCACACACATAGTATATGGGAAACATAGTAAATGGCCCAATGCCCTCTCACATTGTGTTTGGCATCTCTCATGTACCCTTCCCCTTAGCACCCCAGAACCTCCTTTTCCCCACTTCTACCTTCTTCTCTGGATAAAGACCTTGTAGGGGGTGAGTTGAGTTGGTTGTCTCCATGTTCAAGCTCCCTCTGCCCTTCCAGTGGGACTCTGGGCAGCCACATCCAGCTACTACCAGTCACTGGGCCTATGCATTGGGCCTCTAGGTCCATCTGTGCCTTACCAGACCTGACCTGGGGAGAGACAAGGCTGGGGCTTTGGGACAGGAGTGGGCATGGGGTGTGTGTGGAAAGGCAGAGGAGTGGGCAGCTGTTCACTAAAGGAAAAGAGAGATGTAGCCTTAAACCAACCAAGGAAACACCTTCTTCCTAAATCTGATTGACCAGAGATTAATTTGGCTTCACGTGTTGGGTCCTGTGATAGAGAAAGGTAGAGAAGACAATGTGTTCTCTTTTATTTGTTGTAAAAACCTAGGATACTTTGAACTTTAGAGGAACAATTGTCCTGTGGTGTGTATTTAGTCACAGAGAAGACTCAAAGGCCACCAGGATATAATCCTGTCTTCAGGTCACTAACCTTCAGTCCACTTTGGTTTCCTGTACCCCTCCTATAATGAGTGCACAGCAGAAGTGCTCTGAGTCCAGTATTTCTAGGGCCAAGATGTTCCTTTGGTGCCCACATGACAAGGTATCTTTCTCTCTTCCCTCTCCTCCTATCTCTCTGTCTTCCCTTTCCTACCCTTTCCTCCCCTCCCCACCTTTTCTGTCCCTATCCCTGCCTCATTTCTCCCCTCCCCTTCCCCTTCTGTCTGCCTCTACCACCCTATGCATCTCAGGCTGAGTTCTTCTTTTGCTGTGCTTGTTTTCTGAAATGGGGTTTCCTTGTGTAATAGTCCTGGCTGTCCTGGAACTCATTTTTTAAACCAGGTTTGGCTTATACTCAAGAGATGTGCTTTCTTCTGTCTCTGCATCCCTGAGTGGTGACATGAAAGGCATGGCTGGGCTCATCACTTACTTTTCAAGTGCGCCCCCAATGGCAATGTCTTTCCCATTAATCCTCAGCTTCCAGCGCTAGAGGGAATGATGTTCTCTGAGGATCTAGTTATGTTCTGTAGACAGAGAATACAGACGCCAAAGTCCAGTTCTTTCATACATGCTTTATTAGAGGGCACAGTGTGTGGTGAGCACAACCAGGCAGGCAAGGATGGTGTAGGTAGTGAGGTGACAAACTAACAGTGAATGACTTTTTACTCTGTTGTACAGAGCCTTGGAGAAGCAGATGGGGGCCTGGTGGCCAAAGTTGCAGATGAAGGTGTCGCAGGCATTGTTTTTGTCTTCAGAGCAAAAAGAAAGGAATTTGAATGGAGTCCATCACCCTACTCTGTACAGCTTATTTTTATATAATTTGTATTTACATTAAAAATAATCTTATTTTACATACCAGTCCCAGTTCTCGGCTCCCTCCTGTCCTCCCATGCCCCTCAGCAACCACCCTATCCCACCCCTCATATGCTCCCCCGGGAGGGTGTTATTGCCCAGGTCCATGGGGTCAGTCAACGGGGACCCTAGGGGAGAGTGAAAATGGGGGGACAAGAGACAGAGACAAGACAGGATTCTGATCAAATCTCATTTATTGAAAGTACCAACAGGGCTTAAGTAAGGCAGGTAGCAGAAGGGCGGGGGAGCAGAAGTTCTTGGCAGACTGTGTTCCAAGGACACAAGTCTGCAGCTGGGGGAGTCTGGACTGCAGGCCTTGAAAATGTGCTATACAGGAAGATAAGCAGAAACTTAACTAAGAGTTAGTCTCTAATAATAGAGTAGGAATGTTAAGATGGATTTTATTATGCTATCCTTATTTAGGGCCCTCCACAGGTCCCCCTTTTTTGTATAAAGTAAAAAGGTCATAAGCTGGGATATCCTTGAGGGGGCCATGCCTGTCTTAGATCAGAGGATCTTGTAGATCAGGAATGTGCAATAGCCCTACCCATCATTGGAGATGACATCTCATGATGAGCATTCCTGTCTTAGGAGGCTATCAGGATGGGACACCCTCTGTCCTTCCTCTGTTGTCTGTCATTGGCTAACCAGCCCAGCTCACCAAGGAGGAGATGAACCAAAGTGATCTCATAGCTGCATAATTTAAGTAGTATGTGATTAAGGTTCATTACAATTGTCTCCCATTTGGCCATTTGGTCAAGACGGTGATAGTGCACCTGTATAGGCTGCATCTTGATAGCATATATCTGACTCTTAACGAAAGCCATCAGTTAAAGAGAAAAGTTCCTAGTGATAGGAGAATTAATAAGCCAAGCAGGGGGCCTAACAAGGGAAGAAGTTAGGCAGAATTCCACTCCAGGCACTTCAAACTGGCTGTTCAAACAATTCTCTGCAGGTTTCTCAAGTTCTTCTTCTGAAAGGGGGACCAATAGGAGAACAGTCCTGAGTATGGCATGGACCTTCATTTCTTGACAACAGAAAGGAATAAAGTTCTCAGGAGGAGCAATTCCTCCTAGGAGAATTTATGTTATCATCTATTTGTTTAATCTTTCCTGAAGCCATCTGGAAGATTTCATTTTTTTGGAGTATATGCATACTGATCCTCATCCCCATATTAGGACTGCATCAGGTCCATGCCAAGTGTTGTCTAAGGGGTCTTTCCACATGACTATGGCAAAGGTTTTCTGTGTATCAGAGTGCCAAAACCATGTGGCAGCAGATTTTCCATCATTATCCAAATTTTAAAAATTAACAATGAAAAGAGCATGTGTCAGAATATTCCTTGGCATGCCTTTGGTGAGATACCAAGCTCCTTCTTTTAATTTATTAATAGTTAGCTTAAGTGTAAGGTTAGCTCTTTCTACTATATCTTGTCCTTGAGGATTATATGGAACTCCAGTGACATGGTTAATAGCTAATTGTTTGCAGAAGGTCTTAAAATTGGCACTTGTAGCCAGGCGGTGGTGGCGCACACCTTTAATCCCAGCACTCGGGAGGCAGAGGCAGGCAGATCTCTGTGAGTTCGAGGCTGGGCTGGACCGACAGCCTCCAAAACAATACAGAGAAACCCTGTCTCATAAAACCAAAATAAAATTGGCCCTTTTATATCCAGGCCCAATATCAGTCTTGATTTGTTGAGGAGTGCCCATGACAGAAAATGCAGCTAACAAATGGCTGATTACATGTTTAGTGCTTTCTCCAGTTTGAAGAGAGGTAAAGATAAAACCACTATATGTATGTATATTAACATGAATATACTTAAGATGTCCAAATTCTGTAAGATGGGTAACATCCTTTTGCCAGAGAGCATTGGGCACAAGTCCCGGAGGATTAAGTCCCAAATGAGGTACAGGTAAATATTGGATGCATTCTGAACAGTTTTTCACTATATGTCTAGCTTGTTCTATAGTAATATGATACATGAGGTGTAAAGTATGGGCATTAAGGTGATGTAATGTCCTTTAGGTGCTGCTTCAATGCCTGTGTCCTGGACAGAATCAACAGGCAGCACCAGATGACAATGGGTTGCTTGGTCTGCCAAATGATTGCCTCTGGATAAGGGTCTGGGTAGACCCGAATGAGCACGAAGGTGCCCCATAAAGAAAGGAAACTTTCTGACTCTTATGAGAGAAGTTAGTTCTCTTAATAAATTACCAGTCTCAGAGATATTCTTATTTTGACCTATAGTCTCTAAAAGTGGTACTGAATGAGCAACATAGGCGCTATCAGTATAAGTAATTGATTTGGAAAGGCAGTAAAGGCAGCTATGACAGCATATAATTCTGTTAATTGGGCAGATGAGGTCCCAGTTTGAAAACTAGTAATCTTTTCATTCCAAGCATAAGCAGCTATCCCCGTGGAGGAGCCATCAGGAAACACAGTTAATGCACCTGGTATAGGATCTAGGCGAATATTTTTGGAAAAATAAATTCCTGACTATTGGCAAAATCAATTAGCTTATTAGGGGGATAGTGGTTATCTATGTCTCCTATGTAACTGGCCAAGGCTATGGGCCAGCTTTCTGTTGTTTGCATAAGCCAATCAACCTGTTCCTTGGTATTAGGTTAAATAATGAGGTTTGGCTCACAGACTTGACCTGCTTTCTGCCTATAAGAATAATATCTGAGACCAATTGAAAATAGGGATTTAGCTCCCTTTTTGGACTGACTGGTAAATGGACCTATAATATGGGAGCAGTTTGCAAAAAAAACTGCAGTTGGAGACTGATCTGTTTTGCAAATAATAAACCACAAGGGGCGATTGTAACCAAGAAAAGTAACTGTTTGAGATTGTATGACTTGTTCTACAAAAGTTATTGTTTTGCGGCCTTCAGGTGAAAGTTGATGAGGTAAGATCTGAATTGCCAGGGAGAATGTCATAAAGGGCTTTTAATTCATCTTTGCTAATTTTTAAATAAGGTAGTAGCCAACTAATATCTCCCAGTAATTTTTGAAAATCATAAGGGTATGAAGTCTGTCTGATCTCAAAGTAATTTTTTGAGATAAATTTTTATCTTCAAACATTTGAAAACCTAAATAAGTATAGGGATCTTTGAGTTGTACTTTTTATGGTGCTATCTGTAATCTCCTTTTTGTTAGAGCATCACATAACTCTTTATAACAAAATAACACTTCTTCCCCTTTTTGTCCTGCTAAAAGGATATCATCCATATAGTGTATAATATACATCTGTGGCCATGAGTCCCTAACTGCTTGGATAGCAGATGCTACAAAAGATTGACAAAATGTGGAACTATTGGCCATGCCTTGGGGGAGAACATACTGTTGACACCGGCGTATGGTGCTTGAAAATTTGGAGAAAGAAGACTAAAAGCAAAGCATTTTTGATCATCCTTATGTAAAGGTATAGTAAAAAAAAAACAGTCTTTGAGTTTTGTGGGCAGTTTTTTGAAAAATGGCCTGACTCACTGCAACTAAAACATTTGTTTCTGCCCTGATTAGACAAGAACTGTCTAACAGTAGTGCCTTGCATAAGCTGCCTTGGCGAGTCCTTGATGATAAGCTGTGCCTATCTCAGCACAGAGGAGAATGTAGCCAGAAAGGTTTGGTTTTTGTTTTGTTTTTTTTAACATATGGCTGAATAGCTACTTGGCAGGCAGAATTAACATTTTCAAAAGTCAATTGTTTAACAAAGTGGGTGCCTGAATCAGCATTTCCAAAAATCCTACCTGCTGCTGTTAGAAAGTGATGGATAAAGTCTGAAAAAGGCTCGTCGGGCCCTTGTTTGATCTTTGTAAGGGAAGAGCTCATGTCCCCTTTAGCAGGTAGTCTCTTCCAGGCTCTGGTGGCAGCTGTTTGAAATTGGGCAAATAGTCCAGGTTCATATCGCATTTGAACATCCTCTGCCTCATAATTTTCTTCCCCCATTAACATATCTGCATTCCAGTTATTACCTGCCTAGGAAATTCTTTTTGCAGTTTCTTTACAAGCTTCTCAAAGTTCTGACTTCCATAAAAGATAATCTCCATCTCCCCCTGCCAAGGTTGCTCTAGTTAAAGTGTACCAGTCAGATGGAGTAAGCTAATTGTTTGCCACAGATTCTATGATGTCAGTGGTATAATGAGCTGTAGCTCTGTATTGAGAGACTGCGGTTTTGACTTCTTTAATTACATTGAAATCAAACTCGGTGTGATGTCGCCAGGCAGTGCCTTGTGCATCTGTTGTCTCAGTTACTGGAAAAGCAGTAATATTCTCTGACTCTGTCTGATGTTGGTGGGTAAGAGGTGTCTTAAGGGCAGCCCCCCCCCCCCGAGAGGTGACTTGGAAACACCTTTCTGAGAGGTGTTGGTGAACTTGCCTGTTTTCAAACTCTCTAGCTGGGTAATCAGGTCTTGATGTTCTGTTTCTAATCAAATCTGCTCTTTAAGATACTGAATTTGTCCTGTAGCTCTTTTTGAGGGTTTAAAAATGGGCAAGGCAGAGAGGGGACTGTTGGAGGAGGTATATAAGATGTTCTGCTAATGGAGGGTAGTCTGGACCATGATATTTAGTTGCCTCTTCCGCCAAATCTTCCCACTCTGAGTCACTAAGACTGTCTTCCATGGGCTGTTGATTTTTGGATAATTTTTAAGTGAGGGATATATCTTTTTAACTTTGGGTCTGGCTCCCTCATCCTGCAATGACTGATTGTCAGCTTCACACACTGGAGAGGGAGAGCCTCAGCTGAAGGATTGCCCGCATCACGTTGGCCTGTTGGGCATTTGCTTTCTTTCTTTTCTTCTTTTATTCTATTTTTTATTGGTTTTTGAGATATGGTGTCTTGTCTACTTCTGGCTGTCCTTGAACTCACTTTTTATTTCATGTTGGCCTTGAACTCATGTATTCCCCTTCCTCTGCCTCCTGAGTGCTGACATTAAAGGCATGCTTCACCACTACCACCATCGGGCTACATTCTCAGTTTGTAATTAAGTTTATGAGCTAGTATCAGGCAGCCTGCCATGCCAGTCTGTCCATCTGAGTTCAAGTCCTGAAACCCACTTAAAGGTAGGAGAGAACTGACACCACAGACTTGTCCTCTGACCTTCACACAAGTTCTCTCTCTCTCTCTCTCTCTCTCTCTCTCTCTCTCTCTCTCTCTCTCTCTCTCTCTCCCTCACTCTCTCTAACTCTTTCTCTCTTTTGATTGCTCTTACACACAATACATATGCAAATTAATAACCAATTAATTAAATATCCAGTTTGCAAGTAGATCTACCTCCTAGACTGTGTCGAGTTTTTGTGACAGACTAGGTACTTAGTTAAAACAGTTAACATAGAGGACTGTTGGAGTCATCTACTCCTGCCTGTGAGCACACGTCATTCTCAGCATCCCCGAGACCTCAGGAGCAACATCTATATCTTCTAGTGACCTTAAAGTCTCCACAGGGGAGGGACTTGGCACTTGTCAGTCACTGCACTTGAGCTGCTGTCAGGTGTTACATCAGCCCTTTCTCTTTGTCTCTGTGACAGCACTAATTCAGGCTCTGCCACCATCTACAGTAGCTCTGCCGGTCAGACTGTCTGTGAGTGTTGACACATTCTACTTCTGTGCTACACACACAGTACTCACAGGCCCCGTGTACTGACTGGACACTGTCAGAGCACAGCCACAGGACTATAAAGAGAGAAGTCACTTGAGTCCTCCCCTCACTCAAGATGAAACTCCTTCTGCTGGTCACTCTGCTTGCTTTCAATGCATAGGCCCCCACTGGTCACACCTGCAGTTCTGATTTTGGCTTGCTCTTGGGTTCTAATAGGCTCTTGGTTGGGATTTCCTGCTCACCTCCATGGCCACAACAACCAGCACCTTTACCCTTTAGTTCTGAACTCAGATGACTCCTTAGAAGAGCCCACTACATTCATTGACACAAGCAGAGAAAGGCCCTCTGCCTCTGCCATATTGCCCTGGCACCATTTCCCTGTCCCTAAGCTGCCACGGCATTTTGATTTTGCTCATCCTTTTAAAAAGTATTTACATTTATTTTATGTGGATGAGCATTTTCTCTGCATGTGTGTCTGCGAACTGTGTGAGCAGAGCCTACAGAGGACAGAAGAGGGTCTGATCCTACAGAACTGGGGTCACAGACAGCTGTGAGCTGCCATGTGGGTGCTGGAACCAAACCTGAGTCCACCAAAAGCTCCGCAAGAACCATCTCTCCACCCATTATTATTACTTTATATGACCTTGTTATGTGGCTCTGGATGACCTCCAACTCAAGTTATAGCCCAAACTTCAAACCTTCCCTCAACCGCCCAACTGTTCAGATTACATGCATGCCTTGCTTGTGTCTTCTTTTTTTTCCCCGAGTTTTACAAGAAAGTGTTTTCCTCAAAGCCATGGTGTGTCCATACAACACATTCCTTCTAATTCTCCAGTGTAAAACAATAAGCATGTGTTGGCTACTTCTCTGGCTCAAGGTCTCAGCTAGAACTGTGATGAATCCCACTGCTGGCTAAGGCTAGGGTTTCCCCTAGGCTTGAGTAGGGGTGAGCAGCTTTCTCACTCAAGAGATAGTTGGGTTGTTGGGTTATTGAACTAGGAAGTCAGTATTGAACTAGGAGAGTGTCCTCAGCTCCTCAACACAAGGATCACAGGGCAGCTCACAGTGTGGCAGCTGTCTGTCCTGACAGTGAGAAATGAGAAGGCAAGCAAGGCAAAAGACAATAGTTATGAACTTAATCTCAGAAAGGCATCCAAGCACCGTAGAGTAGTGTTCATTTATAGTCCTACCTTTTGGGAGGCTGAGGCCAGAAATTTGCTACAGACTCGGAGGCTAGCCTGGGCTACAGGACAACTCTCTGTCTCAAATAGGTAGACACCTTCCTGCTCAGGCCTGGTGACTTCAGTTTGGTATCCAAGACCCACATAGTGGAAGCAAAACAAACAAACTAAAAACTAGATAATGCTGTTCTTTGACATCCTCGTGTGTTGCATGACATTTATGAGTGCTAACAAGTGTGTGCTTTCAACCTGTGTTTGGGCAAGCAATCTCTCTCCATCTATCTATCTATCTATCTATCTATCTATCTATCTATCTATCTATCTCTCTGTCTTCACTGTTCTCCCCATGCAGCAGCTGGTAGCAGTCAAGGAGGAAGCTAGCAGGCCTCAGAACCCTGGTAAAGTCAAGTGAGACTGATGGAATGTGCCGTGCGTTCTTGCAGCAGGGGCTACTGCACACAGCATCAGTCCTAGGCCTGTGTGGCAATTTGACAATGCTTTAAAGTGCACCGTCCCTTTACTTCAACCCTTCGCAGACTTCAGCTACTATGGTTTCTATTGTGGCTATATCAACTATGTCATCTGGAGCAGCGGGCTGGAAATCTTAGACCGGTGAGTGATCCATCTGGTGGGAGACGGGAGTGTCCGGGTTGGGGAGGGGGCAGGACACCAGCAGAGCATCTCTTGTAGCATGAGTAGGAGACAGGCACAGTCACCAAACACCATACCTTGTCTAGTTCATTTATTATTCATTTTTGTTTGTTTGTTTCCAGATAGGGGTTCCCTGGGCAGCCCTAATTGTCCTAGAACTCTTTCTAGAGACCCTGCTGGCCTTGAACCTAGATCTTCCAGCCTCCATCTTGAGTGCTGAGTTTAAAGGTGTATGTATTTTCCCCTCTTGTCATGTAAAGAAATCAACCAAAGAAAACCCTGTATCCAGTGGTCCAGGAAGGCAGAATGTGTGAGATGTAAATAGTGGACCATGCTGTCCTCAGGCACCAGACTAGGGCACAGCCAACCATCACAGCCACCATCAAAGTGTCAGCCTTAGCTTAAAAAGTCATTGAGTACAGGTTTTCAAAGTATGATCTGATGATCGTTGGGATTTCCTCAGTGTCCATTGTAATGTTCCCCTTTTCATTTCTGATTTTGTTAATTTGCATATTTTCTAACTCTGCCTTTTGGTTAGTTTGGATAAAGGTTTCTCTATCTTGTTAATTTTCTTGAAGAGCCAACTCTTTGTTTCATTGATTCTTTATGTTGTTTTCTTTGTTTCTACTTTGTTGATTTCAGCGCTCAATTTGATTGTTTACTGGCATCTACTCCTCCTAGGTGAGTTTGCTTCTTTTTGTTCTAGAGCTTTCAGGTGTGCTGTTAATTCTCTAGTGTGACTATTCTCCAGTTTCTTTATGTGGGTACATGAACATTCCTTTTAGCACTGCTTTCAAAGTGTCCCATAAGTTTGGGTATGTTGTGCCTTCATTTTCATTGAATTCTAGGAAGTCTTTCATTTCTTTATTTCTTCCTTGACCCAATAGTGGTTCATCTGATCATTGTTCAATTTCCATGAACTTGTAGTCTTTCTGCAGCTTGTGTTATTGTTGAATTCTAACTTTAAGCCACGGTGCTCTGATAAGATACAGGGGTTATTCCAATTTTTTTAATTTGTTGAGTTTTGCTTTGTTGCCGAGTATGTGATTGATTTTAGAGAAGGTTCCATGTGGTGCTGAGAAGAAGATGTATTTTTTGGTATTTGGGTGGAATTTTCTATACATGTCTGCTAAACCAAATTGGGTCATAACTTCTGATAGTTCCTTTGTTTCTTTGTTAAGTTATGTTTGGTAGTCCTGCCCAGTGTTGAGGTCTCCCATTATAAGTGTGTGGGATTTTATGTATGAGTTGAGTTTTAGTAATGTTTCTTTTACTAATGTGGGTGCCTTTCTATTTGGGGCATAGATGTTCAGAATTGAGACTTCATCTTGATACGTTTTTCCTGTGATGAATATGAAATGGCCTTCTTCCATCTCTTTTAATTAATTTTAGTTTGAAG